GTGTCAGAGGTAGCAGGTGCAGATACCACTCTTAAAGTTGGGGGGAGCAAAGGTAAGAGGTTGGAATCACTGAAATTTACATCCTTGGAAGAGGGGCCAAGTAAAGCTGAAATTTAGAGCTTTGAGGAGTAGGTTCTGCTCATTTGATGTTGGTGTCTCTGATCTCTGAGGAAGAGCCTCGTTGATCTGGGACCTATGTCTCTGGAGAGAGGACCCAGGTGGCTGATGCCAGTGTCTCTGAGGGTGTGTTATGAGGCTTGTTCTGCTAGAGCTGAAGAATCTGGACACTGAATTTGGCTGCTGCCATGGGGTGAAGTGTTGCTGAGGTGATGCTCACAGGAACAGGAAGCCAACAGGAGAAAGTTCCTTCTTCCTCCATCCTTGCAGCCAGTCTCTGGCACCCCCTCTTGGCAAAGCCTGACAGGGAGCCAGCTGTTAAAATAGAGCTGTGGTTTTCAGGGTCTCAACCACAGTATCACAAAGCAGTGTAGATTATTTAGGTTAATAACTGGAACAATCAGAGAACAAAGGAAACCAGGTACTAGGGCGTTTATAGTGTAAAAATTACACAATTTTACAACAGTTGAAATATTGATGTCAATATTTAATAAAAGTAAGTTTTACATAACAACCCAAAATAGGGGACACTCAAGATGAAAACCATTCATGAGAAAATTACGGACAGGACAGGTCAATAAATTTAGAACTATATGCAAACCACAAAATGGAGAAATAAACGTTCCACTAAGTTAATAGTAGGTTTAGATTTTAAAATTTTAAAATTTGAAATTTTTATTAATAGACCAGCTTTAGGTTTATGGAAAAATTGAAAGTGCAGAGAGTTCCCATATTATGTTCTCCCCATCTCCCCAAAGTTTCCCGTTACTAACATCTTGCATTTGTGTGGTACATTTGTTCCAATTGATAAATCAGTATCCATACATTATTATTACCTTAGGTCCATAGTTTACATTACGNTCCAATTGATAAATCAGTATCCATACATTATTATTACCTTAGGTCCATAGTTTACATTACGGCTCACTCTTTGTGTTGTGTATTCTATGGGTTTGAGTTCCCCTTAACCCCTCTGGTTATTTTTTAGTTGTCTTATTTGATAATTTCTGTCTTCCATTTTTTGAATTTGCATATTCTCCAGGGAAATTTCCTCACTCTTTGTGTTGTGTATTCTATGGGTTTGAGTTCCCCTTAACCCCTCTGGTTATTTTTTAATTGTCTTATTTGATAATTTCTGTCTTCCATTTTTTGAATTTGCATATTCTCCAGGGAAATTTCCTTAGCTCTCCTCTTCTATTATATCTATAATCTCTTGGTATAAACTCTTTCATTTCCATGTAGCCTTCGCAGTTTCCTTATCAGTAAAGTAAAAGGTCAAACTGGAAGCTTCTGAGTTTTTTTTTTTTTTGACCCCTAAATTCAGTAGTTGGCTGTGTCAAATTTGGACTCATCACAGGCTTTCTCCAAATTCATCTGTTTTCTGAGTTTCCTGTGTATTTAAAAGCAATAAATGATCCTCTTGGTCACCCAGACTCAAAATGTTGATATAACATTTGACTTAAGACGCACAGCCATTTTGTCACCACGTCCTGTTGAATTTTAGCTCTCTTACCATCCCTTCTGCCATATTACAGGTCTCATTGCTTCCCTGCAGCAAGTGCTGCTGCTTCCTGAGGTCCTGTGACTTTTTGAGAGAGGGTTAAGTGGAGCTGTATGAAAACGGCCCTCTGTGAGTAGCAGTCCAGCAGCTTGTTAGTGCTGGCAGAAAAGAAACCGAGGACATAATTCAGAAAGACTTGTTCCATTAGTCAAAAAGAGAATAATCACTTATTTCTTCTTTCTTCTTGCACTGTCATATTAAATGTTTTCTAAATGTGTGTTCCTTTTCAGCATAATGGGAGTTTTGAGTAACAAGTGTGGCTTTCAACTCCAGTATCAAATGATTTTTTCAATATGGCTCCTGGCATTCAGTCCTCAAATGTGTGAACACCTGCGGCGCTATAATATCATTCCTGTTCTGTCCGATATCCTTCAAGAATCTGTCAAAGAGAAAGTGACTAGAATAATTCTTGCAGCATTCCGTGTAAGTGTTCTGTGATTTTCTTTTTTTTAATTAATTTTTTGGTGCATGTGTCAGGCATTTTTCACTATGCAGTATATTTGAAATTTTAGGGAAAAAGTTGCTTGTTCTCTATGTAGTTATTGAACTATAGAGTCTTCGTGAACACAGAGTAAAGTATCACTAATTTGTATTTATGGCATAGGGCAGTGGGACAGGTGGGAGGAAGTTATCTAAATGAATGAAATGTGTGAGTTATAGAATGCTCGTAAGAAGTGTAATTGCATTATGTTCAGATGGAGGAAGTCCCTTTTTGCTGCAATGCATTCCAAGAGACTTATTGAAGGAGTTTTTCTCTTATGGGGCCCACATTTTAATACAGAGTTGAATTTCACATACTGGATCTGACTAACAGTATATTTCTGAGGCAGCTATAAAGATCTATAATTATTTTAAACAGTCAAGTTATCCTATTAAGATATTAGAATTTTGTCAGTTATCTAAGTCAACTTCCTTCCCATCTTGAACAAGTGAAGACGTTGATCTTTCTTTTTAATGGATGTATTCCGCTGTGTTAGGGAAAAGTGGTTTATTTAACCATTGTCCAGTTGATGGGCATGTGAGGTGTTTCCAGTTTCTTTTACATATGCTTGCCCACTTTGATGAATTTTTCTTTTGGATATAGTTCTAGAGTTGGAATTGCTGAGTCAAAGGAATATGCCCTTTTACACTTTTGATAGGTAATATCAAGTTACCTTTCAAAAAAGTGCAAACTTAGACTTCCATCAACTATATTTTTGGAGTGCGTGTTTTTCTACTCGTTCACTAGCACTTAACATTATCTATTCACAGGATCTTAGGTGGAAAATGAAATCATTGTTTTAAATTTGCATTGTTAGTAATGAATGAGACTGAACATATTTTAATATTTTTATTGGCCATTTATGGTCTTCTAATAAGTTGCTTATTCATTTGTCACCTCTTAAATTTTAAAATTTGATGTGTAGGAACTCTTTTCTAGATGTCTATAGTTAATAATAACTACTAATATTATTGAGAGCTTATTCTGTGTCAGGTATTGCTCTTTTTTTTTTTTTTTTTTTTTTTGTTTTTTTTTATTTTTTTTTTTTTTTTTTGTTGCTTATTCATTTGTCACCTCTTAAATTTTAAAATTTGATGTGTAGGAACTCTTTTCTAGATGTCTATAGTTAATAATAACTACTAATATTATTGAGAGCTTATTCTGTGTCAGGTATTGCTCTTTTTTTTTTTTTTTTTTTTTAGGTATTGTTCTAATTACTTTATTTTATTTATTTACTTTGGCTGCTGGCCAGTATGGGGATCCGAACCTGTGACCTTGGTGCTATAAGGCTACGCTCTAACCAACTGAGCTAATCAGCCCCTGTGCTAATTACTTTAAGTGTTTTACACATTTAATCATCCCAGGAACTTCATGCACTGATCATTAAGGCCACAAGAGGTTAAATGATTTGCCAGAATAGCTAGTAAGTGGCCGAGTAGGTATTCAAAGTCAGGCAGCATGATTCATGCTCTTAATCATCATGCTAACCTATCTTTGATTCTGAGAATGGTAATTGTTACAATTTATTGAGTGATTTTCATGCATTGCCTTGTTTAATCTTCATGATTACCCAATAGGTTCTATTATTATTTTTTGTTTTGTAGATAAGGAACCAAGACTTGGAGATTAATTCCTCATTTAGTAAGTGTTGGGATTGGAATTTCAGTGAGATCTGTTAGGTTTCAGTGCTGTCCTCTTAAACACTCTGCCATCTCATTTTTTTCTTGTCTCGGGACACTTTCTCAGGAACCTTAAGAGAGGCATTAAAAGGGGGGAACCATGAAAAGGATAAACCAAAGTAATGTGAGGGGGAAGATTCCTGCACTTGAAATACCAGCTGGAAATATTAAACCCCGTGTCTTTCCTAGCTGCCTAATGAGGGGTGAGTGAGTGAGGGAAGGCGTGGGGAGGTGGCGTTCAGTATAAATTCTGTTGAGAGTGGAAAGTGAAGTCGAAGTTTGGCTGCTGGATGTGATAAGTGCTGACCAGCTGCTGACTGAGTGTTCCCCTGGGCATTAGATTTGCTTTCAATTATCCTTATTTATAGAAAGTAATGCTCTTTTTCATATAAAAATTGTTCTGTGGTCCTTCAGAAGTTTACTTTTAAGTTATAGGCAAATGCAGTGCCTTCTTGCTCCTCTCTCTCACAATGGTGACTCTGCCATTAGTGTTTCTAGCAAATTCTGTCTACATGAGTTGTAAATTTCAGTCTAGTCCAGATAAAGTAGTAATCAGTTCTTAAATCAAAATAGGTTGTATTAATGAGGTTTTCTGAAATATTTTAGTAGCTAAACTGAACGTATTTTTTCCTCTACGTAAGTGTTTCATTATTCATATTTTTATTTATTTAGTAAAGGTGAAAAATTCCAGAAATAGCATCTTCTGCCAGTCTCCTCTAATTCACAAAAAAGTTTTGAGCCCCTTTTATGTGCCAGGCACTATGCTGATCTTTAGGGAACACAGATGACTAAGATATAGCTTGACATCGGAAGTCTTAGAGTTTAGTAAAGACAGACTATGTAAAGTAACTAATGTCAGTGCAGTGTCCTGGTAAGTACTGTATAAGAGGAAAAGCAGTGTAAAAGAGGTAGAGGTAAGAAGAGAGGGTTTTAGGAAAAGCTTCAGAGAAGAGAGGGCTTGAAGAACCTTTTGAAGGATGAATAGTTTTTTTAGAGGTATAAACGTGGAAGGTTGATAAGTATTAACAAGTGAGTGAAGAACCTTCTAGAATTGTCAGTAATCTGTTCTCTCAGAAGGATTGATTACACCTCTCACCCCCATCCCCACCCCCACTCCCACTCGAATTCTGAGACAGTAAACGGAGCACATAAGGTCTGGCTCTTGAAAATGCAGTTCTGGTATTTGTGGCTGTTTACTCTCTAAAGGCATAGACTTGCCCTGTAAGTAGAGGTTTTGATTCTGCCATGCTAGTGGGGCCACCACTAATATAGCTGATCCTAACTTGTATTCACACTCATGGGGCATCACCCTCCAAAGCATAGTTCTTTCAGATAAGACTTTTTGTCAGATCTACTTTTGCTGCTTTATTGTGTACTTTGCCTACTCTGAGGGAACGTGGAATAAAAAATGATTCCTCTTTCAAATTTATTCACTGTGGCCAAATATGTTTGCATCTTTGCAACTCAATATATTTATTCTCTGAAGGCTTAAAGCTTCTTCTATTCCATTTGTCTTTTTTTTTTTAACTTTTTATTTTAATGTTTACTTATACATATTTGTGGAAGTACAGTGTGTTTCAATACATGCATATACATCCATTACATGCATTTATATCCATATAATTTTGTAACCATTAGTCCACCCTGTCTTTTCCCCCTGTTCCTCCCTCACCTCCCCACCTTCTGTTAACCATTGTTCTAATCTCTAGTCTATAAGAACCTTTTTTTTTCTTTTAAGATTCCACATATGAGTGAGACCGTATATTTGTCTTTCTGTGCCTGACTTACTTCACTTAACATGATGGTTTCCACTTCCATCCATGTTGCTGCAAATGATAGGATATCATTCTTTTTTATAGTTGAGTAGTATTCCATTATGTATATATACCACAGTTTTCTATCCATTCATCCGTTGGTGGGCTAAATTTAGGTTGATTCCATCTCCTGGCTATTGTAAGTAGTGCTGTGATGAACATGGTAGGGCAGGTGTCTTTTTGATATATTGATATCATTTCCTTTGGGTATATACCCGGTAGTGGGATAGCAGGGTTGTAAAGTAGATCTATTTTTAGTTTTCTGATGATCCTCCATACTGTTTTCCACAGTGGCTGTACTAATTTTCACTCCCACTAACAATGTAGAAGAGTTCCCTTTTCTCTGCATCCTCGCCAGCATTTGTTATTTACTGTCTTGTTGATAATAGCCAAATGGGTTAATATCTGTTGATATTAACTCTCAGTGAGTTAATATCTCATTGTCATTTTAAGTTGCATTTCCCTGATGATTAGTGATTTTGAGCATTTTTTCATCTCTTTTTGAGAAATGTCTGTTCAGGTCCTTTGCTGTTTTGTTAATTGTTTTTTGTTTGTTTGTTTGTTTGCTATTGAGTTAAGTTCCTTATATATTCTGGATATTAGCCCCTTCTCTGATGTGTAGTTTGCAAACACTTTCTCCCATTCTTTAGGTTGTTTGTTCACTTTGTTGATAGTGTCCCTTGTTGTGCAGAAGCTTCTTATTTTGATGTCGTCCCATTAGTGTATTTTTGCTTTAGCTGCCTGAGTCTTTGTAGACTTGCTCCAAAAAGTGCTGCCCAGTCCCATTTTGTGTAGCATTTCCCCTATGTTTTCGTTTAGTAGTTCCATAGTTTCAGGTGTTAAAGTTAGGTCTTTAATCCATTTGAGTTGATTTTTGTGTATGGTGAGAGATAGGAGTCTTGTTTCAATCTTCCGCACATGGATCCATTTGTCTTTGTTTTGAGTTTCTCCCTGTCTTTCTTCCTTTTTGACCTACTGTAGTCACAGAAGCCTTTATTTTACTAAAATCTTTTTTATTTTACTAAAATCAAGCATCTACCATTTTTAAAAATGGATCTTTTGATCTTTTGTCTGTTTATAAAAATAATATGGTCCTATGGTTAAAAAAGTAAGATAGGATAGAAAAATATTAAGAAACATTTATAAATTACCTGCACTCTCAGTCCCAGATATGGAACCCTGTTAACATTTTAAAACTTGCAGTTTATAACCTCTGTTCTCTTACTACGCAAGGCATCAACTCTGGACGAATTGCAGCGGGTGCTAAAAAAAGCTGAAGGAGTCTCTAAAATCTACAGGGAGTCTCTGAATTCTTCATGATTTGGGCTGATCATGTTTGACATTAATTACTGCAAAGGGTGTTGTACTCAAGTTGATAGTGAGTGTGCCCAACATGTACAGTGGAGGGCAGGCTTGCTGTTTGATTTAGAAGAGGCAGCATGAATATTT